TTCCCCTTTTTTTCCCTTCCTTGCCCATCACTTTACCAAGGTAACTTTTTCAGGCCCACACTGCACAGAGTCACTGGCACAGTCCTGGGAGATTCAGGGCACAGTTAAGGCAGATGGATCAAGTTTGATTTCTGCTCTAAGCTTCAGTGATTCCCTTCCAGGACAGGGCAGGAGTTACAGAGCAAACCCAGCTCAGCTGTGAAGTTTCCAACTCCTGCCCTATAAAGCACTTCCTACCTTAATTCCTTGTGAAAGGTTCTGGGAAACACGAGCATAAAACAGAGCGTTGAGTTAAGTAAAATCTGAATATTGTGACATCTCTCCATGAGATAAATGACAGGAAAGAGACAGCTGTCAACCAGGGCCTATTCAGGCAAGCTAAATTCTACCTAGCTCCCCTGTCAAGTGATTCCTCTTGTCTGGCTGCTCCTCACTGAGTGGCTCTTGAGGGCCTTTGGCAGTTTTCAGATTCTGCCTTGAGGAAGAGGAGCAGCTGCTCTGGGAGGGATGGCAGAGCTTCAGTGCCTGCAGGGCAGGGGGCACAGCACCAAGGTGCCACCCTGATTGCCCCCAGCCAGGGAGGCTGTGAGGGTGGGATTTGGGGGTGATGTGCCCATCACAGTCAGCACAGAGGTTTGGAGCTGGGATTTGGGGGTGATGTGCCCATCACAGCACAGGGTTTGGAGCTGGGGTTTGGGGGTGATGTGCCCATCACAGTCAGCACAGGGGTTTGGGGCTGGGATTTGGGGTGATGTGCCCATCACACCACAGGGGTTTGGGGCTGGGATTTGGGGTGATGTGCCCATCACAGCACTGGGGTTTGGGGCTGGGGTTTGGGGGTGATGTGCCCATCACAGCACAGGGTTTGGGGCTGGATTTGGGGTGATGTGCCCATCACAGCACAGGGGTTTGGGGCTGGATTTGGGGTGATGTGCCCATCACAGCACAGGGGTCTGAGGCTGGCATTTGGGGGTGATGTGCCCATCACACTCAGCACAGGGGTTTGAGGCTAGATGGGAGACCCTGAGGTCTGTGAAGAAGAGATGGATATGTGTGTTTGCAATTAACTGGATTTACTTACTCTGTGACACTTGAGTATGGCACAGCAGCCTGCCTTGCCCTCTGGCTGTGTCACAGGCTGCTAATAAGTGATTTTTTTTATTTTATTTTATTTCCAGAGACCATGAATGAGTTGACTTTTGGTGCTGGGGTCAGCTACATCAGCCTGATGCACACACCCCATTCAGCTCCAGGCAAGTCACCTCTGGCATTCTTATTTGAGGGGAGGGGGAAATGAAACCAACCCCAAATGACCAAACTCTGTGGCATTTTGTAAAATACGAAAACATCTGTATTGTTTGCAGTGAAGAAAGAGGCTGAGGATGGGCCAAGGGATATCATCTGTTTGACATCGCCGGAGAAACCGTGAGTGCAGCACGGGGCTGGGGCTGGCAGTGCTGGGAGAAACAGAGGGGCTGGAGCAGGCAGGGAGAGAGAGGGGCTGGAGCAGCCACTGCAGGAATGAAGGAAGGCTGGAACATCCACTGCAGGCAGAGAGAGAGGGGCTGGAGCAGGCACTGCAGGAATGAAGGAAGGCTGGAACATCCACTGCAGGCAGAGAGAGAGGGGCTGGAGCAGCCACTGCAGGAATCAAGGAAGGCTGGAACATCCACTGCAGGCAGAGAGAGAGAAGCTGGAGCAGGCACTGCAGGGAGAAAGAGAAGCTGGAGCAGGCACTGCAGGCAGGGAGAAAGGGGCTGGAAGATCCAATGCAGGGAGAGAGAGGGGCTGGAGCAGGCAGAAAGAGAGGATGGAACAGGCAGGGAGAGGCTGGAACATCCACTGCTAGGAGAGAGAGAGGGACTGGAACAGGCAGAGAGAGAGAAGCTGGAACAGGCACTGCAGGCTGAAAGAAACACTGGAGCAGCCACTGTAGAGAAAGAGAGGGGCTGGAGCAGGCACTGCTGGCAAAGAGGGGCTGAAACAACCACTGCAGGCAGAGGGAGAAGCCAGAGCAGGCACTGCAGGCAGAAAGAGGAGCTGGTACACTCACTGAGGCAGAAAGAGGAGCTGGAGCAACCAGTGCAGGGAGAGAGAGGTTGGAGCAGGGAGAGGGGCTCTAGCAGGCAGAAGGAGAATGGAACAGGCAGAGAGAGGGCTGGAGCAGCCACTGCAGGCAGGGACAGGCTGGAAGATCCATTGCAGGCAGAGAGGGGCTGGAGCAGTCACTGCAAGCAGAAAGAGGGGCTGGAACACTCACTGCAGGCAGAGAGAGNAATGCATTGTAACCAAAACCAAAGGGTCTCCAGGCCTGCCTGCAGCTGGAGCTGACAGCTGTAGGCACAGCTCTGTCACCCACAACTCTGGACTGCTGGAATGTCTTGGATGGAATAAACTGCATTTTGGATACAATAAACTGCATTTTGGAGAGCCACCTGGAGTCCCACATCCCTCATTTAAACTCTTAAAATGAGCCTTGTTTCTCATGAAGCCTTATATTTGGGAGGGATTTATCCTCCTGTATCAGTTCTAAAGAGATTCCTCTGTGAGGTCCCTTTGAAGGATGTTTACAGACAACCCAAATTGCTCACTGGGAAAAAAAAAAAAAAAAAGGCAGTTCATTCTTGCCTGACAGCTGATTAAATCTTGAGTTGCCTTTTGCTTCTGCTAATTTGTTCTGTTCGTGACTGGCATGCCGAGCTCCCCCAGGTGTGCTGAAGGCCAGATGGCACAACTCAGAGCCTGCACACAGCATCCCACGGCTAGAAAGGAATTTGGAATGGCAGGGATATCCAGGATTCAAATACTTTGTTTGATTTCCTTTTTTATTTTCTTTTTTGGCAGCCTCTGTCCGCACAGTGTTGGAAGCGAACACAAACACTGCGAGCGTGACAGTCAGTGCAGAAGGTATAGAGTCATTCTCTTCCAGTAAGTCTCAGACTTTTCTTGGCATGCCATTTCCTAAAAAACACACATATCTGTTAAACCTAGGGCATGCATGAGGCTCTCTGTTTAAACACTGAACCATCTTCTTGCCAGGTGAATAGATGCTTTTGTTATTCCTCAGCTTTTGTCTTTTCTTCCAGCTGTGTCCAACCATCCACTGAGGACCTTCCCAACTTTCAGAACTGTGGAGCTGACAGACAGCAGTGACACTGCTGGGCCTGATGGTATGTCAGAATTAAAGCAGCCTTTCCAGATAAGCATTCAAAGCCTTAATTGAAATCAGACTTTCTGAAGTGTATTCATTGTCCATTTCTCAAAGGAAGTGGAGAAATCTCTTGCAAAACACTTAGGGGTGATGAAAGGGGTGGAATTGCCGGCCATAAAGAAACACTATTTCCACTCAAGTCTGAAAAATACATTTAATCCTGAAATGCAGATGTCTGTTGGTACTAATGTGGTGGCAACCCTTGTTGAGAAGCAGGTAATTTATTCTTCCCAATTTTAATTTATGTGGAATATAACACTTGTAGCTCCATGAATTTCAGGGTAATTAAATCTCTTGCTCCAGTGCACAAAGAACTGATCTATTTTGCTGTGTAAAGCACAGCACCTTTCTGTTCTGTAGGCAAGGATCTGCTTCTCTGCAGCACCAGGTTGAAAGCTGAAAGCAGGGTGTCACACACAATGTCCTGATGCACCATGGCAAGCTGCCTCTAATGTGTTGATAGCATGAAATCACCATGCAAGCTGGCTTTTGTGGCCGGGATGTTCCTCCTTTAAACCTCTCCTTTTCTTTTCCTCTTGTGTGGAAAAGCTTTTCTTGCTAACCTTTCAACCCCTGCCAGGATCTGCGCTCTCAGTTCTTGCTGTTCACCTCCCCTGAACTGCTGACAGTTCAATTCTCTGCTTGCCTCACATCCTGCAGAGCTGCCTTTGTTCCACGCTGCTCCTCACACGGGATCTCCCTCCCTATCTCCAGCAGCCAGGCTCCAATCTCCCCCCACTGAAAAAGCTCCTTTTTTTGCTGATAAATTTCCCTTAATCTGCTCCCTCAGACAGAAAAGTCCTCCAGGCCACTCAAGGTATTGTGAATTCCCTGTTTAGTTGCAGGCTCCTCGTGCCAGAGGATGCCTGGGTTTGTCTCTGATACCCAGCTGAGCACACGCTTGGCACTTGGCAAAACAAATTAAGAAAAGGCTGGAATGAATAAAGACTTGTCTGGAGCTCCAGAGGATTCTGGAATGCAGGGCTCTCCGAGGCAGTCAAGGTGCATTAGCAAAGCTGTCTGGCCCATGCCTGTGCCTGGCTTGTGCCTGTGCTAATTTTGCTCTCCTCTGAAGACCAAACAGCTCATTTCTCTCAGAAAAGTAAGAAATCTCAGCCAGGGATAGTCAGAACATGCTCAGTGCTCAAGGGCAGAGATAAGGAGGGTGGGGACAACCTGCAAGGTGAGCTGTGCACTGCAGAATTCCCCCTGCCCAAACATTCCCTTCCTTTAGGAGCTCTCAGCCCTTTAGAACTTGGGAATTTTGGTTGTTTTGTTGATTTTTTTCCCCCCTCTCTCTTTTCTACATCAGAAAAATCAATGTCAAAGTGTGATTATGTGGTCACCTTCACAAGACTGGATTATTTTAGTGGCAATATCTTGCAGTGGGGAAGGTTTTGTGCTCTTCCTGTGCAGCTGCTCTTGGGAGGAGGATGGAAACTGCACTTAACTGCCCATTAAGAAAGCCCAGATCAAAGTCCCTTTGCTTCCTTTTGGTAAAAATGTATTTTTAAGCTAGTTTTGCTTAGTTCCCTGTGACTAATCCTGTTTTTAATGGCAACAGGATGGATGTCCATGTGAATCTCTAAGTAACAGATCTCCAAATTTGGCATATCTTTGGGAAATCTGACAAACAGCAATAAATAAAAACCTTAAAAGCCATGATAAAATGCTTGAAGTCCTTATGGCCAGTTAATAGCCTAGTGATTCAAACTGTGAGAAATTATTGATCTGTGAATTCAGTAGTGTGCCATTTAATAACTTCTTGCCTTGATGATGTATTTTTTCCTTGCCAACATGCAGAAATAAGTATGAATATCACTGTGCAGGGTGAAATTTGAGTCCTAACATGACATCCAGGGAAGAGAGATGTGTTCTGGTTTCCTTGCAGACTCTGAGGTGGTGCTTTGCAGCTGCTGTTCAATTCTGCAGCCTGGAGGAGTTCACAAACGGAGTCATTTTCCCTGTGTAGCACACAGCAGTTCATACACTGGTGCTGTGTGCAGCTCTGAGGCAGAGCTCCCAGGAGGTTGTGGGTGTTGTGAGCTCTGCAGAGCCTCCCCTGGCTCTGTGCTGGCTCCTTTTGTCTGAGCTCTGCCCGGGGAGCTCTTCCCACAGGTACCAGGGTTACCTGAGCCTCAGACTGTGCCTGACCCATCTGCTGAGCCCTCAGACTCTGAAGGTAGCCTGACATCTTTTGTGTAGGCAAATGAAGAGGTCAGAAATTACAGATTCACCTTTTTTCTTTTTTTGCTGTATGTCTCTCAAGTAATTTGTTCCATCACTTTCTTTTGTGATATATTGAGTTTTCAAATGAGCGAAGTGGGAAATTATTTGGGTTTGTTTTTTCTTCTGGCTTATGCCTCATTCTGGATTGTTCCGGGTGGTTTTAATTGTTCAGTCCTTCTGAAAGTTTTGGGGAACCATTTGAGTTTGTTTTTGCTGTTTTACTGAGTTTGTGCTGCTTTAGGGTGGTGAGTCACTGGCACAGGGTGCCCAGAGCAGCTGGGGCTGCCCCTGGATCCCTGGCAGTGTCCAAGACCAGGTTGGATGGGACTTGGAGCAACCTGGGACAGTGGAAGGTGTCCCTGCCATGGCAGGGGTGGAACAAGATGAGTTTTAAGATCCTTTTGAACCCAAACCATTCTGGGGTTGTGTTGTTCCAACTAATGCTGTTCGTGGGGGTAATTCCATTTTATCTTCATTTTGGATAGGAAAAGAAGTCATGGCCATGCTGAGGATGAGAGCTGGAGATGAGAAAACCAACGTGAGGAAATCTGCCCTGCAGGTAGGGTGAGGTTTGCATCCTTCCCCGCTCCCAGTGATTACCCAAAATTGTTAAATAATTAATTAGGCCACAGCTTTGCTGCGAACTCTCACTCTGCCCACTTGTAGCTTCCTGCTCTCCCTGCAGAGTGCCTTAGAGGCATTTAGGATCTTGTTTACTAGCTCCTGATAAGTAAATAATGCAGGCATAATGATGGAAATTTCTCTAGTACCCTTGCTGGCGTTCTGTTATTCCGTCATTTGCAAGGAGAGGCTCTTGTCAAATGTCAATAGGCATTTCAATTAAGAGACTTCCTCATAAACTGAAGCATATTAGCTGCTTAGTTTGTTTTGACCTTGTTAGCAAAGGGATTAGGTTATATCCAGCCTCTTTTTGAGCTCTGTGCTGCTTTCCTTGCTGCTCATTTCTTTAATGAAGTCATTAGCTTTTAAAGAGAGATGCTTCAATGGAAATTTCCTTGTTTTAAAAAAGAGGTGTCTGCTGCTGACTGTCTTCCTCTGTTAGTCCTCTTCACCCCAGCTCTTCCCCCTCAATTCACACACTGATTTGAGCTTCCCAGTCAGAGCTTTGCAATTCATGTTTTAATGCTTTCTGATTAAGAATAAAAATAAATCCCTCTTGCTTATTATGAAGTAAGAACAGTGGCTCATACGAGAGGCACGTTACTTTCAAGGGGAAATTGTGACACCCTCGCTCTCCAGCTGCTGTTCCAGAGCAGCAATGACTGGAATGATGTTTTGTGATTCATTTTCCATCTCTGGCTGTGCCCAGCACTCATGAATTGTTAATGTGCTTCACTCTGGGTGTGATGAATCTCTGGCTGCTGTTGGTGGGGGGTAAATTGTATTTCTGCTTTGCCACCCAGTGCCCCTGGAGTGCCCAGCCCAGCTGAACCTAAGTGGTGGGTCCAAAATGGGATGGGACTTGGGGACAAAGAAAGAAGTTAATGGTGACTGCATTCTTGTGAAACAGCAACTTCTAGCCTAAACAGGACAGCTGGGGTCTAGGTAGGATCAGCTGGGTTTGGAGTCCCAATTACCCTACTTAAAATTGTTCCAAATATCAAGGCAAGTGCAGTGAGATGCCTGTTACAGTCAGTAATTCTGTCTGGTTCAGGTGGCCCTATCATAATTAATGAAAAGATTTTGAAGGCTGCAAAGCATTGGGGAGGGACAAGGGGTTTTTCTGACCACCTGTTTTTAAGCTGCCCCCTGAG